GGGTCATTGGACTTGCTCTCTTTTTGGACTTGGGGATATACACAATAGAACTTGGAACAAATCAGAAGGATAGAGAAAACTCAAAGTGGCAGTAAACGAACGTGCCAGAAGAGGATGTTGATCCATCATGTGAATGATCCATTTCTGTTACGTTTGGCATATACTAAGGCCTGGCAAAGGCCGAGACTGAGGATGTGCCTGACTGTGGATGCACTTCTGACGGATCCACCTGCAAATTTTCCCGTAACCTAAAATGGCAAGCACTAAAACTGTGACTGTGACTGGAAGTAAACCCGTTTCATTAAAAAAATTAAAAATAAAGAAAAGTGAGGTCGACGTCATACCGCGGCAGAACAGGGTGGATATGGATTGGTTATGCTTCGGGTTAGTCAGTAATGCGGTTATGCACAAGCGTTTGGCAGCCTTAGGCGCATTATCTCAATAGACTACCTGTATATCATGTGATGGTGACCAGATCACTGACTATGACCTTTCTTTCCTGCTAATTTCCTTCTTTTTACTTCCTAGACTGGGCCAGCTGGTTCGCTTCCAATATTGATCCTTTCCTATACCTGCAATTGCCGATGATTAACCTGTTGAGGAGAAAAGGGAAGCCAAACGGGTCAATTGCCGGCGATAGTCTAAATTATAAATGGATCGAAATATAGTGAATTCTAAAGTAGAATCGAGAGCTACTCATCCAGGGAGTATCATCTTGACACCCTCACATTAAACGGTCAACGACAAAGTATTAGTATTGTATTCATTTTATTCTTTTTTTCTGCCAGTCTTGGCGGCCCAATCAAGTCAACTCAGCAGCACATCCCGCTGACAACGAAACACCACCGCCTAGTCCATCTGTCCTATGCCCCCTTCCACTCTTTACCTTCTCCTTCTTACTTTAATAACTGTTTCTCGTCTCTTTCTCGCCTGTTTCTATCTTATTGATCAAGCTGTGGCCCTGGCTCACAGGCCCGCCACGGTCATGTTTCAGGTACAGTATTTCCGGATCCATTTATTTATGGAACTCCTTCGGGGGTTAGCCTCACGTGTCGAACAAATTCCCCGGATTTGATATGTTAACGCTCGATTTGATCGCAACTCACAGCGTATCCGCGACGCGATCGACTCCCGCATCGCAGAGGAGCAAGCCCGGCAGAAGTCTGCTCAGGACTCCCTCGCCCGCTCCAACTCCGCTCGTCGTCCCACTCGCAATGTATCCCCGAGCAGACGAACCACCCGCCCCCGACGGAACACCGGCACCCCCGTCCGTGGACCGGATCCCAACGAATTCGAGCCCGAGTTCGCCATTGGAGAGGATGAAGGCTCAAGCAGATCAGCCACTCCCCGCTTGGAGACCGCAGGCTCAGAGGAAAATGCTGAGGAGAGCAAACCACCGGCGGAGGAGTCGTCCGCCGGCAAAGAGAATACAAATGCCCCAGAGACAAACCAATCTTCTTCGGAGCTGCCGCCTGAGGTCAGGGTAAAGCTACGGAGATTAGGCAAGCTGGAATCTCGGTATCAGGGTATGTACTGAGTCGATACAACGGGGACTTGGGCCATGGCGCTAACTGTTGCGTGATCTGTAGAGCTCTTGAAAGCTTATCGGATGGCCCACTCGCGTGTCCTATCTATCGAACCTTTCGAAGCGGCTTTGCGTGAGAACACCCCGTTGGCTTCTATTAGCGATCCGAAGGCGTTGACAGAATACCTCAACCAAATCTCATTAAAAAGCGACATGGTTCTGGAGGAGCTGAAGCGGGTGTCCACAGAGAGAGATGACTACAAGAAGAAAATGGAGGAAGCTCAGAAGGCCACAAAAGCAGCATACGATGAGGTCACTAATCTGAAGGAGAATAAAAAGGAAGAGGATGCCTCGACAATAAGCGATAAAACGATCGTTGATAGCTCTACCTTGAATGATAAGTCTTCCACCACTTCGAAGCAGGATTCTGTCAAGGAGGAAAGCGAAGAGTTTTTCTCTTTCGATAACGAGATCCCACGCCTGGAGACCGAGTTGAAAGAAAAACAGGAAGAGATCGAAACACTTAAGTCTCAGGCAGACAACCTCAAACGGGACCTCTCGGTGGCAAGGGAGTCAACAGAGGGGATGGTGCACAATTTGGAGACCGCGACCCGAGAGCTAGTGGAGCTGCGTGATATCAAGGATAAACAGGATTCGGAGATTGAGAAGCTCAAGGCTTCGAAGCAGGAAGAGATCGAGGCGCTCACGGCGAAGCTGGCAACGTCCGAGACCACCATCGAGAATGCTCAAAATGAGGTTGAAAAACTTAAGGTGGAGCTGAAGCAGAAAACAGATGAAATTGAGCAGCTTCAGTCGCAACCTGTGAAGCCCGAGGATGCTGAGGGGCAGGCGGAACTTTCAGCAAAACTAGACAAAGCCAAACAAGAAAAGGAAGCCAATGAGAAGCGGCTCGGTGTTCTCCAGGACCTTGTGGATAACCTTCGTTCTCAGCTCAAGGATATGGAAGACACGATGACAAGCCTCAAGGCGGATATGAGCCGAAAGGAGGAGCTGCAGAATATTGTTGATTTCCTTGACAACAACCTGAAAGGCAACACAGCATGGAAGCAAGCCAAGGAACAAGTTGCGGGTGGAAAGCAAGCCAGTTTCGAGGAGCTCCGGGACAGTCTGGCGCCTGCGAAGAACGGTACCGAGGTGAAGAGTGAGACACCCGAACCCAAACCCCAACCGACCAACTCCGCCGGTGCCACGGGAGCTTCTAAAAAGAAGAACAAGAAGAAGAAGAAAGGTGGCAAGAGTGGCGGTGATGACACGAGCAAAGCTGCAAGTGCTCCAGCTGCCGAAGAGACGCAGACACCAGTAGCCGAGCCAGATCAGAAATCGTCGAACACGAATGAGCTCGAGCAGAAAATCGAATCTTTGACGCGCCAAGTGGAAGAAAAAGACGCAGCCATCGATCGCCTCAGCTCGAAGCTCAAAGGGGAGGAGGGCCTGAAAGAGGAGATAGAATCTCTTCGGGATGACTTGCTTAATCTCGGACAAGATCACGTCGAGTCAAAGGATAAACTCAAAGTGTTGACTGCGGAAAAGAAAGCTCTGGAAGAGACAATCGTCAAACTGGAGAAAGAGCTGGTTGACTTGCGCACGAGCACTGCGACTAAGGATGCCGACTCTGAAAAGGTGCACAATGGCCTGAAGGAAGAATATGAAAACCTCAAGGTCAAACTTACTACCCTAGAAACCGAGCTATCTGCTGCCCAACAGTTAGCTTCTACCCGATTCAAGGACCTTACCGACTTGCGAGAGACCCTCCAGAAGCTGCAGCCTGAGCTGAAGAAACTGCGAGCTGAATCGACAGAGCTCAAGTCTACCAAAGAGGCTTTGACTACTAAGACCGCCGAATTGAGGACTCTTGAGGGCAAGCAAGAGGATTTGCGTGCTGAGTTGAAGAGCCTCAAGACGACGATATCAGAACGAGAGTCAGAAGTGAAGACGCTCAACCAGAAGATTAGACAAGAAACGGACAATCGTTTGAAGGCCGAAGAGAGACTGACCGTCGCTCAATCAGATCTACGCTACTCGGAGAGCAAGAAGCAAGAAGCGCTGGAAGCGAAGGAGCGGATTTCCAATGACCTTTCTAAGGCCCAGGAAGACTTGAAGGCCACCCGGACTCAGCTACGGGAAGCTCAGAACCAAGTTACGCAGGTGAACAAGGACCTTGAGGGTCTGCGGGAGGAGATCCAGTTGAAGACCGCTCAGCACGCTAGCGCGCAGAGTCTGATGAATAGCATGCGCGACCAGGGCGCCGAGATCGGAATGCAGATGAAAGAGGCGCGCGAACGCTGCGAGAGTCTGGAAGAGGAACTGGCGGATGCTCATCGGTTGCTGACGGAAAGGACCCGTGAAGGAGAAACTATGCGGCGGCTCTTGAATGACATCGAAGGCCGCACCGAATCTAAAGTTCGCGATTTCAAGGAGCGGATGGAGGCAGCCATTGAGGAGAGAGACCGTGCTGAAGATGAGGCTAGTGCTCAGGGCCGCCGTCGGGCGCGGGAGCTGGAGGAGCTGAAGAACAAGGTCCGAGACGCCGAAAAGGCACTGCGCAGCGCCGAGGAGGACAAAGAGGAGCTCGAGATGTCGCAGAAGGATTGGAAGCGCAGACGGGACCAACTGGAGGAGCAGGCCGAGCGGTCGACGCAGGAACTCAATGATGTGCGACAGGCAATGGCACGTTTGCGCGATTCGCTGGATGAAAGTGAGAAACAAGTCCGAGACCTAGAGAAAGAAAAGGCAGAACTCCGTCGGTCGGTTGAAGAAACCAGCGCGCGACTGGACAAGTTGCGCCGGTCCAACAAGGCTCTATCGGAAGAGGCTCGTTTTGGTACGAATCCCCAGTCATCGCGGTCTTCAATCGACTCTGGGTCCCGCAGGGCAATCACTTCGCCGGTGCCCAAGGGCCGCAGCCCATCCGTTCAGGGGAGCGACACGCCCACAGGAGGAGCAAATGCGCCTATTGATTATATTTATTTGAAGAACGTTCTCCTCCAGTTCTTGGAACAGAAAGACAAAAGTTACCAGAAGCAGCTCATCCCAGTTTTGGGCATGCTGCTTCATTTTGATCGGTATGTCTGAATTTCCTTCTGATACTACGTTGATATGCTATGTGATACTAATCCAGAACAGGACGGACGAACAAAAGTGGATGTCAGCCATCATGTCTCGATAGACTTCTTAATTCTAAGGTTATGATATTTCGAGATATGACTTAGGTACTGTATTATAATATTTTATTGGTACATAGTAAGATCATATTTCTTCCATCTATTTACTTCTTTCTTCTTTCTTATTCTCTGTGGTGCAAAGCAAGTGGATCATGTCAATCATAAGGCGTGCCACTAAAAGCGAGGGCCAGTGGGTCTGCTCCAAATACTTAAACTGTGGGGTTCCTTCGACGCTTCCGAGTCACAAATTTGACGACATCTCTTGACAATTGACAAGACCAACATTAGCCACCATGTCTGACCAACCGACCATTAGACTCGCGACTCCCGAAGGTGAGTGTCAGACGTGGTCAACATCATGGCTGAATGCCGCTGTCCGCCAAGTTTCCGCCCCGCATACATCTGCCGTGAAAATGCCAGACTAACTCTGGCCTGGCGTCCAGATGTCCCCCTAATCCTCCAGTTCATCCGCGAACTGGCCGACTACGAAAAGGCCCTTCATGAAGTAGAGGCCACCAACGAATCCCTCCTGGAAACTCTCTCCTTCCCCGACAGCCCTCCCAAGCGGGGCTCCGTATATACCGCGCTCATCACTCCCCCCGCTACCCCGGACAATGCCACTCCCACCCCCGTGGGCATGGCCCTATACTTCTATAACTACTCGACTTGGCGCTCAGCGCCGGGTATCTACCTGGAAGATCTCTACGTGCAGCCCGTGGCTCGTGGTAGGGGATATGGGTTCAAGCTGTTGAGGTATTTGGCGGCTAAGGTGCTGGAGGTCAATGGACGCCGGCTGGAGTGGAGTGTGCTCAAGTGGAACGAGCCCAGCATCAAGTTCTACAAGCAGATTGGGGCAAAGGGTATGGAGGATTGGATGAAGATGATGGTGGACGGCGATGCCTTGACCAAGCTGGCAGGGGGGCTGTGATACAAAAATGAAACTATTAATGATATTCGCGGCACATAACATGGAAAAACACATAATTGAAATACAGAGAACATAATGCTCATACGAACCAAGCTGTACACTTCTTTCCCTCATGACTTCTACTCTAAGAAGTGCTCTCCCATCCTCTCTATTCAGTCGGGGAACCAAACACTTCCATATGAATCCGGTCCTCCTGCACACCCATATCTTTCAAAGATTTACTCTGCGCATTCATGAACAGCTTCGGACCACAGATATAGTAATCCGCATCCGGAAGAACGGCCTGATCCTTAATCTTGTGGAGATCCGCCCTGCCTGTGAAGTCATAGTCGACGCCCTGCGTGTCCCCTTGATCAACCTCCTCATAAAACACCGCACGATGAACCTGTGGATTCTCCGAGATGATCTTCGCCAAGCGGTCCTTCATTGCATGCACGCGCCCATTCCGCACCGCATGAATGAAGACCACGCGCCTCGACCCTCCCTGATCCACGACAGTCTTCAACATGGACATCATCGGCGTCAGCCCAACGCCACCACTAATCAGCACGACCGGCGTAGTCGCATTAACATCCAACACGAAATCCCCAAACGGCATACTAACATCCAGCTCCGCACCCACCGGCAAGCCCTCATGCAGCACATTCGAAATGCGTCCGGCCGGTTTGGGTCCTAGCGCAGATTCCCTCTTCACCGAGATCTGGAAGTACTCTCCATTCGGCACATCCGACAAGCTATACTGCCGGGGCTGGTAGACCCCCAGCTCCGGGACGAAGCACTTCACACTGACGAACTGGCCGGGTTTATACGCCGGCAGTGCAGCCTTATCGATCGGCGTGAGGTAGAACGAGATGATCTCCTCGCCTTCGTGGACCTTCTCCGAGATGAAGAACTTCCGCCACCCCTTCCACCCGCCCGGCGTTGCTTCCGCCTGCCGGTACAGCTCGCTTTCAAAGCCAATGAAGTACCCCGCCAGTTCCCCGTATGCGGCTTTCCAGGCGTCGAGCACCTGGTCGTCCACCGCGTCGCCTAGCACCTCTTTGATGGCGGCCAGAAGGCCCTCCCCGACAGCCGGGTATTGGTCCGCCGTGATCCCCAGGCTGGCGTGTTTGTGGCCGATGCGCGAAATGGCTGTTTTCAGGGCCTCCGGGTGCTCGATGTTGGTGGCGTATGCCCAGACGGAGTGGGCCAGGGCGGCGGGTTGTTCGCCGGTGGCTTGGTGTGCGGTGTTGAAGATGTTCTTGAGCTCGGGGTGTTGCTGGAGGAGCCGCTGATAGAAGAGAGTGGTGATTGCGACGCCGTGGGATTCCAGTGCAGGGATCGTGGACTTGACGATTTGGATTTGCTGGGGGGTGAGCTTGTGTCTGGAAGCGGTTGTTGTGAAGCCTCTGGCCAGGGGTAGGGCCAGGCGGGGGAGGACGAGTCTTGGGATGAACATTGTTTTGGATAGCATTGGTATGAGCAGTTTTGAATTACATGTTTGGATATCAGGATTGGCTCTGGAAAGGGCGGTTCTTTTAACCATGTGCTTTCTCCGCGGAATTGACTTTTGCTGCGACTTAATTAGGGTTTGAGTTTACTGGTGACGTGGTGACGTGACCCAGATGTCACCCAATCCTTCTCGTATTGGAACTTATTACATTAGCTATAATATGATTGGAGATGTCACTACCATGCATATATACTGGACGCCGGCTATTATGCAATCCCAATTCAAGGGTGGAGCTTACAACCCTCACAGGGCTGCGGCGGCTGCGCACTATAGTACAGCGACGGCCGCGGCTCCCCCGAAACATTCAAAAACCCCTTGGCGCCCTTCTCCAGACGAAAAATGGCATGATCCACTATGGTATACGTCCCCGGGACGACCATCTTCATATCCACAATAGTCGACCCACCCGCGGGCACACTGACCGTCTGCACGCACTGCGCCGGCGGACTCAGCACATCCGAATCGCGATACACCTTACTGAAACAGGTCCCGATGACATGGAACGAGCTGGTGAAATTCGGGCCCCCATTGCCGAAGAAGATGCGAACGGTATCGTCGAGCGAAGCCTTGAGCGGCTTCTCGGTGAGGGCTGCCTCGCTGCCGTTGAAGACCACCACGTCGGCGGCTTCGCGCAGCGCATGCGGCCACGAGAACTCGACCGTCGAGGACATCTGTCCGTCGTCGTCGGCTTCGGGCGGCTCGTGGTAGAACTCGCTTTGCATCACGTAGTACTCCTTGTCGACGGCCGGCAGGTCTTGCTCCGGCTGCACGTACAGCAGCCCGTACATGCCGTTGGCGATGTGCACGCCCACGGGGCCCACGGCGCAGTGGTAGATGTAGAGCCCGGGGTTTGGGAGCTTGAATCGTGCGGTCTTGGTCTCGCCTTCGTTGACAGTCGTCAGCGCAGAGCCGCCCCCAGGTCCCACGAAGGCGTGGCAGTCGATGTTGTGCGGCATGCCGGATTCGTCGTGGTTGGTTATTCTCAGGTTGAGGACGTCGCCGACGCGCGCCCGGATGAACGGCCCCGGGACGCTGTTGTTGAACGTCCATTTCTCGTATTTGTATTGGTTGGTTAGTTGCTCCAGTTTGCTGACGGTTGTGAGGTCCACGTCTAGGAGCACTGGGTAGTCGCGTGTGATCGGTGGGGGGACGTTGGGGGCGGTAGTGAGGATTGCTTTCTCGATTGGGAGGTCCAAATCATCTAGGGATTTGGGTGTCTTTTTCTGTGCATCTTGAATCCCGTTTTTGGGAGCTAAGGGGTCCGGGTGGGTGGAGTATTTCTTGTCGCTGTCTAGCCGGACAGCGCCTTGCTGTTGAGCGTAGAGGAACCAGCTGAGCGTGGCGGCGGTGGAAAGGAACAGGACATATTTGACCCGAGTACCATTATTGCTTCGATCCCTTGCGATGCCTTCCGTAGATTTGGTTGAGATATGTCTTGCGAGGAGTGGACTCCGGAGTGGGGATGGGCTGGAGCGCAGTCGAGGCGCAAGCCGTCTGGTTCCCCGAACAGTAGCCACAGACGCGAAACGACTCTTGGTACAATATAAGGAGCTGAATGCCGTGTTCATTGTGGGGTAAATCACAGGTATGTGCATCTACAAGAGCCTGAAACAGTAAGCTAATGTAAGACGGAAGATATAACGGAGAAGAGCGCTGAACCAGCCATCGCAATTATATACACAAGCCACAAGGACTCGAACTCCGAGGAGATATACAGTTCCTAGGACATGCTTCATCATGTAGAATCGCTTCCCGTAGATCACAAAGACCACGAGGCCCGGTGTTGGGTCCGTCAAATCGGAATGAAGCGCAAGCACTCGATTCCACGGTTGAGATGCCATGTTGCGTATAAGCTTGCCGGGATCAGCAATGTCATGCGACAAACCGAATCTTGTTACGAGAGAGAAAGTAATGTCCCACCAGTAATTGACTAGTTAGTGGTGGTGCATGATTCAAGTGGTCTCGAACATACCTTTCGCTCGCAATTCCCGCCGACGGACCGAAAACCCTAGTATGCGGTGTAACAGACTTTATAGGCAAGACATTCGCCAAGCTGCATATTTTGTATATTATGGGCCCCCGGCTGTCTGTATAGGTAGTCATCGGATCAATTGCGTGCAGTGTAGTACTTTTGTTGAAGCGGGGCTGGGCTGCGAAGCCAGGGAAATGGTTCAGCTGAAGGAACAGGGGTAGAATGGACAAATGTCGATCTCATTGCTTTGGCGGATGACCAGCTGAGACAAGGCAGGTTTTTGGAAGCTGAAGGGAGATGCTGTGAAGATCGTTTTAGTTAAGGTACACTGTATGTATGTCCTCAAGTGAGGGTCCATATTCAGTCACCAATTCTCTCGCCTTCTCCCATCTATTCACCTCTTTTTTTTTTTTGAAAAATGTCAGGATACGTCCAGATCGTAGCTCTGCAGGCGCGTATCATACTATGAAGCTGCTAGCGTTGGGAGCTTCGCTTTTATTGCGGTGTTTCAGCGGGAACTGTCAAGTCGCTCTGTAGATGGTAGGGCGCGTAGTGTTTGTTTACGAGTTACGAGATGAAGAGTGAATATACGCTCTAAACTCATCCCCTTCAACACACTTTCTCTACTCCCTCTCCCTCTCTCTCTTTCTCTATACCCACCACTAAATCTTTTGACATAGCTGGCTGGTACTAGCCAAGTGGTCGCGGTCGCATCAGCTATGCTCCCTTCCTTGAAATTCTGCAAATTCTAAAGCACTTCACAAGATTATGGCACTCATGGACACAGGAACGCTTGTGATCGGTGAGTTGCGTGATGACGAGGTTGAACGCGAAAATACCGTTCGTGGCATTCTTAGACACCTTATCGTCAATATTCTCATCGATTTTGAGAATACCCACCTCTATTCCTCGAGACTTTTCACGGAAGAGGATGAGGGACAATTTGAAAATAAGTGCGACCTAACCGCAGATATCTGTTCTATTATGGAGATAATGGCCACCATTAGGAATGTCAAGTTACTGCAGGTAACTTGGTTCAAACAACGGCAGCAGCTTCTTTTACGTGAATCCTTAAGAGCAGGGTGTGTTACTCCACAGAGGGTTAGCAATTTTATCATGATAACATGGGAGGATATGGTACAAGCAAGGATTGATGGCTCGGAGCTTGCTTTCAACTATGAAGAGCCGCCTTGGAGGATTGTACCAGGGAAGAAGCCACATGAGTATGGACAAGGCCTTGGTAGACATCATCTTGGAAAATTATATCCCCTCAGTGTGGCTCTTGCTCAGATGGCCTTGGACAAGGAGTGCACAACGACACAGAGGAGAGCTTCTACAATCTATGCGACAACAATGGCCAACAGTGTGACACTAACAGGCAGAAGGATATACCCCCGTCCAGTACAGTCGTCTCCGGATGAAATAACCTATGTATGCACTGATAATTATGGGAGTGTCTCGAACTGGCTAACCATGGTAGACTTTGTTTGACATATACCCACACGTTTCATTTCCTGTCATTGGCCGCGTGCTGTACACACTATCGCTCCACCTGTTTGAGAACGATTATCGGGAGTTGAGGCACATACCATATCGCAGGATTATTCAGAGTTACAATGGTCCTCATAGGGTGACGAGCCAGCTTCTCGAGTCTACTGACTCTAGATTGGAGGCATTGGAAGGCAAAGTGATCTCTGTCCAATTGTAAGATGATTGGCATCTGATATCATAGAAGTAAGCTAACCAGGTGAAGACTAGACAATATCAGGCTTAAGCAGTCAAATTACATTATAACTTGGCCAAGAAACAGTGGGTATCTCGATTATGTCACCGATGATCGAGACATGCGATATTGGCGACCATATGTTGGTCAGTCGTCAAATGTTGAAAAGCGTATCAAAGAACACATTAAAGGGGCCGCAAGAATGATACCAGATTCCCTACATTACTTTGTGATCCATAAAGGTAATGGAATGAGGGCTATGAATTTTATTCGGCTCTGGTCTTTCACAGATCACGAGTGCTTTAACCAGGAAACGAAGAGTATCTTTGCAAACATCCTTGAGATGGCCTTTGCATTTGCTTTTCAGTCCTTACCCCCTAATATCCTCGAAAAGTATTTCGGTCGCCTACAAGGAGCTTCGTATTCTGGTCTTGGCTTGAATGTTATCGAGCCTCTATTGCAAGGCATCAGTCTGAGATCCCATATCCGACAAATCCTCAACGTCAAGCTCGGATTGTCCCCTGATCCTCATATTAGGATGTGGCCGAGTTTTAGAGAGAGGACTAAAAGGGCGGATGAATCCGTTAGTAAATGGCATGGTGACCAGTTCCTAACGAAATGGAAAGATTACCAAGTGCTTTTTGACCTTGCCATGAGGGAAGCTGAAAGACCTTGTCAGGTCGACTATCGGTTCAATGGCCGCCGCTCCATGAACTACGCCGCAATTGACTTCTTACCTATCCAATCAGAACTTGCTGAGGTTGTTTTAGGAACCACAGGGGAGCAAATCCATCTGAAGTATCCTGTTGGTAATCCGGAAGCACGGATAGGGATTATACTACCCGGGTGCCCGATGGGTATTGGTCTTGATGAGACAGATATACCATGGGGTATTCACGAAAGTGGCTTTAATGAGACAAATTGTATTATGTGGTATGCGGACCCTCGCTTGCGCAGCTTCTCGCATGCTTCACAAACCCATGATTGCCGGCTGGCATTGGAAGCGTGCTTCTTGAAGTATAACAGAGATGTGATACAGAACAGTAACCTAACTGTTATAATTTATGAAGAAGTCGAAACAGAGAGATTGATTATTCCTGCGCAATCGACTTACAACTGCTTTGAAATTACGCTGTACTGCGGAAGGCTTTCCGGGTTCTTCGAGGCAGAAGGGACTGAGATTCGACGAGTCTATCTGAAAGCCCCAACCTCCCTAACCACATTATGGGCTGACCCAGGGCCTAGAGTGCAGCTCCTCATGGAAGCATTCAAGCTTGCAGCAGCGTTAACTGGAACTCAAGGAATCCGGCCTTATTTCTGCAATTCTGCATCAGCAGTCCATCATATCCTGCGAATATATCATGAGGAGAACAACGGTTCAGATAGAATGAATTCTTCAAACATTGATCCCATTATTGAATCTTTTCTTTTCAGGAAGGGATTTCGATGTGCTGATGATATCCGTCAATTGGAAGATATCGGCGGCACCTTGGCGCGCGGTTTAATGTTGTTGCTCTTCACATTGAGACGTAAAGCACAGCCTTCGATCCAGCAGAGCCAGAGCCAAGTCCGGTCTGATGCTCTTAAAAGGGCCAGTATGCAGAAAGTGCATAGAAGGGGTGTATTATCCAAGCATGAACTCGAGGAAATGGAACGAATTTACACCCAGCTACGGCCCGGGGCCCCCTTGGAATCCGGTAGCGAACAGAAACCATTTGCCACCATCCCGCTTATCGAAGTAGTCAGTGAGTCCATAGGCTCTGCTGATGAAGTAGAGATACATGATACATTGGCCTTGGTGCATAAGAAACAACAAGAAATGATCGCACAATGTGATACACTAGAAGAGCAAGAGATTCTTGAGCTGGAGATGGGTGACATAGAAGCCGATGATATCCTCAGCAATATTCTTCCAGTGTCAGATACAGAGGATATGGAGCAGCATCTTGTAGCTAAGGAGTCTGACCCATGCGGAATGGTGGTCAATCCGGTAGTCTCTTTCACGAAGGCCTACACAGATCGAAAGACATACCAAAAACTTCGAGACAAATCAATCCTAGAGGGCAAGATGTACGCTGGGTACTGGCATAAGGAGAAAAATCTCGTTGCAATACGAGCTGGTCCCGAAATAGCAGCCATAAGTCTGGAGGTTCATGCAAAATCACGAGATGAACTCCCTGCTATGATTATGATACAGGCAGTCATTCAATCTGGGAAGCGGCATCCTGAGAAATGGGCTATAGACGCTCGGGATAATGACCCAGGAGCAAAGCTTGCATTCCTTGCTGCCCTCCCCGGGGGTTCAGTCTTTCTCCGTACGGTTGGGGAAGGCTCTGCCCGAAAAGCGAATACGTTTGTGGATTGGTTATCCGGAGATTCCATCGAGATGATAGGCATGCGGCCGCGAAGACATATCAACGCGCACAATGATTTTATTATTAGACCACTCGGACTGCCTGGAAAGGGAACGTGGTACACAGATGACGAAGCTTGTCTTGTGAAAGGCAGCTAGATTTGGGTAGGGGTGAGGCATGTAAAATCAGAACATTCATATCAGCGTGCAGAAGTTATGCCAGTATAATACGGGGAAATTTTACAACATACAACCAGGTATGAAGCAGTGTGACAATCCGATATAGAAGTCCAAATAAAAAATACAGATAGGTACTACTTAGTAGTCGCCACCTATCATACCAGTATTGGAGGATCTGTTTAATTCTCTTAAAAGGCTCCGTATGGGCCAAATCTTCCATTACTATTACTTAAGCTATACATCCGATTAATAGTTTGAACAAGTACAATTAACTACCAAGTGCAGCGGGGGAGTTATCCACCACCCCGACACCAGACTCCACATCGCCCTTCTTCACAGTCATGCTGCTAACTTCAGACCTGGAGTGGCCGAAACGTTTGATTCCAGTGACCGTCATCGAGTCGGTCTGGAGCAAGTACATGTACCAATAGTAAACACCTGGGCCTGATTAGCACGAGTTGTTCAATCCCGGGATAGGCATGTTCACTCACCGCAGAATAAACCTCCACCCAAGATATTGCCGATCAAGGTCGGGATGATTCCTTTCCAGATGTACAGACCCACTGTGATTTCGGTAGCGCCGACCCAGATAGCTAGCGGGATGAAGGTCATGTTGGCCACGACGTGATCGAACCCGAGAGAGACGAACGCGAAGATCGGCCACCAGATGCCGATGATCTTGGAGGTGAGGTCCCGGCCCTGGATGCCGAAGAAGCAGGCGAGGCAGACGAGCCAGTTGCATCCGATGCCGCGGAGGAAGATCATATGGAAATCAGGAGTGACTTGCTTTTTCGTGGCGAAGGCGATCACTTGGGACTTGAAAGGATCTGCGGAGAAGACGTTGCCGTCTATTTCTGTATTAGTGGTGTTGCTTCTTAGGGGTTTGGGGGACGTTGAGACGACTGGACCTACATCCGAATATAATGGCAACAACGAAGAGTGACCCAGCTAGGTTACCAAAGAATGTGACGATCCAGTGAATCAACATCTTATCCCACGGCAGCCGGCGTTGGAGAGCAGCCACGGTGGTGAACTGGTATTTACTTAGTGGTCCTTTCTACATACAGGAGAGGACGGAAGTCTTACCATGAAGGATCCGGTACAAAGATCAGCTCCCGTTAAGATAATCATGCATAAGCCGTAAGGGAAGACCATGGCACTGATCGTGCGAATGAGCCCCGGGGCGTTTTCCTGGAACCAGGGCGTGGAGTTGGTGCTGAGGACCGTCCCACAGGCGAAGGCAAGCAGACACCCAGCCGACACTGCACTGAAGAAGATTTTGTCGAGGCGCATATTGCCCTTAGCAACTCCAGCACGCCCAACGAATTCGATCACCTCGGCCGGGGTGAAGGCATCCAGGCTGATTTGCGACATGGTGCTTTAGGTCTGGATTCAGATGGATTAAACAATGACGGCCCCGGAGGAGCTCGTAATGCAAGCGCAGGGAAGTTCAATGAAGATAGGGATGGTGACGCATGGCAACACCGATGGGTTGATATATGTGGCCCACATATAACCTGGCATCGTCAACCTTATCAAAGCATTTATCCGGGGTAGAAGAGAGTCGAGACACCACGATGATCGACTGTAATATCGATGATCATAACCAAGTCAAAAAGGTGCTTATCGAGCGTCCGTCACTGGGAGACGATGGCGAGTTCACTTTCCCATGCATAACATTGAAGACCCGTACATCCTAGTCGGCATTTCCAGGGAGCAAGACTGCAAGAAGCTCCGCCGATCGAGAGATAAGAGTTGAGATAGGGAACCCTAAGTGCTTCGGGGCGAACCAGATTGAATCCACTTATCAGCCTAGTGATAAGGAATGCGACGCCTTCTCCGCGGGCTCCATCGCGGTTCATGATAAGGGTCATCGAACAATGTATCGACAAATCCTCCATGATTTATAGGCCAGCACGGCTATTCCATGTATACTGGCCTTATAGGAAAGGGGCCCAGTGTAGTACAGACCACATTTGATGGCTCTACCACCTTAGCGTTTGGTATGATAAGACCACAAACTATGGAAAAGAACCCCAGGCTCAAACTGAGGTTTGAATAAATCCTGGGTTTCCCTCTCTTGGATGGCCCCACGGAGCGATATCTGCTTTGCACCTTGGTTTCTATATGGATCTCTAAGCTCTTGTCGTTGGTTCCAGCTATTGTTCAGTAGCTTTGTTCTTTTATTTGCCTATCTTCAGGTCTATTCCTGGATTAAGTTACAAGAAGTTACAAGACCAGGTGACAGATATGGGGAACGGCAAGACTAGCAATACACAGTAATAATAATAATAACGACGACGACGACAGCAAAGGATGATGGAGCAAAGAAACCCACAAGTGGTAGGGAGAGCTTGGGAGGCTCTAAAGGAAAGAGTGATTTTTAAATCAGCAGCAGATTATATGTGAATTAATATATATTAATTAGTGTGAGTTTCATTAAAGTATCTGGATCTGCTGGTTGCGGGTACATGGATGTTGATGGCAATATTATATATACAGCATGGTGCCTTGAGCGACCGCTCAAGAGTTAAGTAGAGAGAGTGTGATATAAATTAAAGGAGAAATGAAGAGGGGAAAGCAAAAACAAATACGGAAAAAAGTAAAGGGCCCGAACCGCGGTTCGAACGCGGGGCCTCTCGCAGATTGGTACTATGTAGCCCACTGTTATAATTTATTAGTATCGAAAATTGATGCGGTAGTATCGATAAGGTGAACTCACAAGCGAGAATCATACCACTAGACCATCCGGGCACCAGTGGTGGAAATCTCCACTATTCTAATAAATGATGTGTATAGCATGCCTAGACTTGCCCATACCAGTCAAATGCCATTTGCTTACGACCAACACCTTGCTTGTATAGATGTCCCTATAAGTCATGTTAAATATCAATTTATTTATGGAATCTTGGTATGAACTATGTTTGCTTATATTTTGTCGATCTACAATATCCAAGAATATAGTAGAACAGTGAAGTTGTGTATATATATCCGCTGGTTGAGTCTGTGAACACTAAGGGATATATCTCGAGTTTTAACCCAACAAATCACTCTCGAGTAGCATACCGCATATTTTCCTCCATGGTTCTAGCACTGCGAGTAGTAGATGAAAACGAGCTGCCCCCATATAAGAGGTTTACATAGGGTTATATTGAGCGACCGCTGGTTTAACTATCGTACATACATCGATCACTCGTTTCCATCTTGATGGGTTCCGGGCTGGGCGCAGTCAGATGTATATACATCCAAATTCAGCTGAGCCTACTCCATACTCTACGCCTAATCCTGAAGGCTGAGATTACAATATGATGAGGACTTATTCTGCTATCTAGTGCTGTACGCGGCTAGACAACGGCCATGCAATTCGTAGTTTCATCAACAAAGAAAGACGGCTTGGCCGAAAGTTGTTCGACTGGATCAATCCAAAAAAATTGGCCCGAACCGCGATTCGAACGCGGGGCCTCTCGCAGATTGGTGCTGGTAGCCCACTGGAGTTTTTATTAGTATCCGAGGCTAGTGATCGAATGTTTTCAGGTTCGACTTACAAGCGAGAATCATACCACTAGACCATCCGGGCAATGTTATGTAATACTCCCAAATATTGAACTTACAGAGCAGGACCGCATCGGCTAGGACTTGACTAGTACTGTCTTGGCATACATAGGCTGCAGATTGGAATCATCACGATGCGCAGTGAGCTCATGCATGAAATGTGCGACGGGACTTGTGATTCAAGTATGCCCGTCAGTGACTTTCATCTTTCAATCTTGAATTACGGTCATCAAACAAGGTTAGGCTCGATCGATGGAGTGGCTGTGCTGGACCTGATCGCCGATCTCCCACTTAATCTGGACTCAGCCACACAATCCAAGGGTTAACCCTACGACAAGCTTCGACCGTGACGTCGTCATCACCAGCCCCGAGCAGTTTCAAGTACCTTTTAAGAACCCCCCTACTCGCTCTTAGCGACTTTTCCGCAGGAATTGTTATCCGGACGGTCAGATCAGGCGTGCCTTCGCTTGATGTCACGGTAGTGATATACGATCTATCCTCAATGGCTTCCCAACCCCATCAAAAGGAGGTGCCTCATAACAACCATGTGGACTACGTCATCCGCTACAGCTTTAATGATACTGGTATGTTCGCCGCGCTCCGCTGGAAACAGCGAGATTGACCGTCCCAGATGTCGATAAAGCGTCTCAGCAGCTGGAACTGCTGCTCCGTCGACTATCTGAGGTAGGGTTGCAGACGGAAGTGAGAGAAGGCGATGAATCGTCGGTGCTGGTCTTTGTCCGGGCTTCGAGCAAAAAGAAATTGCAACGCGCTGTTTATCAGTCACGGTAAGGACCCCACGCGCCGTTTCCTTCCATGATGTACGTGCCATTCTGAGTGGTTCTTACATTATAGAATTCGCGACTGGCTCTATGGTGTCCGCAACACCGAACCTGAACCGGAGTCCTCCGCCGAGCCGCAATCAGAATCCGAGCGCCTGCGTGTGATCCACCATATGATAACCGTGCCCCGGGAAGCGGGTGGCGCTGGAATTACCCCAAAACATGGGGAGTGGGAGAACGTCATTGCCATCTTCCCACTGCATGATGAGAAGACCAACAAGCAATGCATGAGAGACTGGAGCAAGAAGACATTTTTGTCCAACGAAGACCTGGACCTGATACGAAACCTATTCGGAGAAAGTGTATGTGGCAGTGCTTCTCTACGTTGCTTTTTGATGCTGACTTAGCTCTCGCAGGTTGGCTTCTACTTCGCGTTCTTGCAGTCGTATTTCAAGTTTTTGATGTTTCCCGCCATCTTTGGTTTCTCTTGCTGGCTATTGCTGGGGTCCTTTTCAATTATTTACACCGTTGGAAATGCCCTATGGTGTATTGTCTTCATTGAATACTGGAAACGGCAGGAAGAGGATCTCAGCTGCCGATGGCAGTCTAAGGGTGTATCGGTTTTGCGCGAGAAAAGACGGGAATTCAAACCCGAAAGGGAAGTTCGGGACGAGCAAACGGGCGAAATTCGTGGTATATATCCCGCAACGAAGCGGTTGCAGACCCAGCTTCTCCAGGTGCCATTTGCACTCGTTGCCACCGTTGCCCTGGGCATGATCATTGCGACATGCTTTGCCATTGAGATATTCATCTCCGAGATATACAACGGACCGCTGAAGACATACTTGGTGAGCCCCATGCACTGATTGTCGATGCACTACTGACTGACTTATCAGGTCTTCATTCCTACCATCTTGCTCTCTGCTTTAATTCCGACTATGAGTACCGTCCTTGTGTCAGTGGCGACAAAGCTGAATGACTACGAGAACTATGAGACCCAGGGCGCGTATGATGTCGCGTTAACGCAGAAGATCTTTGTGATCAACTTCATTACCTCGTACCTACCTGTTTTTCTAACAGCGTTTGTGTATGTCCCCTTCGCTCATAGTATCGTGCCGCATCTCGATATCTTCCACGTGACTGTTCGTCCATTCGTCTCTAAAAAAGATGCGATAACAACACGTACCGAATTCAACATTGACCCGAGTCGTCTAAAGAAGCAGGTCATCTACTTCACAGTGACTGCTCAGGCCGTTAATTTCGCCCAGGAAACGATAGTTCCGATGCTGAAGCAGCGCGGCCTGCAGAAGTACAAGGAGTACAAAAAGCGCCAGGGCAAATTGGAGTCGGATAGCAACACGGATGAGAAAAAGGCGCCCGAAGTTTCGTTCGAGGATGCTCCCGAGGAAGCCCAGTTCCTCAAGCGGGTACGTAATGAAGTTGAGATGGAAGACTATGACGTGACCGATGATCTCCGGGAGATGTGTATTCAATTTGGATACCTGGCACTGTTTTCACCTGTCTGGCCTTTGGTGCCGGTCTCGTTCTTGGTCAATAACTGGGTTGAGTTGCGGTCCGACTTTTTCAAGATCTGTGTGGAGTGCAAAAGGCCATCGCCTCAACGTGCAGATACCATTGGCCCTTGGCTGGACAGTCTGGGGTTCCTGTCCTGGGTCGGAAGTATTACAAGCGCGGCTCTCGTCTACATGTTTAGCAACGGTCACGAAGGACCGAACGGACAGCCAACATCCATCAAGGGATGGGCACTGCTGCTCACGATCTTTTTCTGCGAGCACATTTACCTACTGGTGCGCTACGCCGTGCGAGCCACTATCGCCAAAATGGAACCCCCCAATGTACGTCAGGAACGGACAGAGCGCTATTTGCTGCGGAAACGATTCCTTGAGTCGAGTCTGCAATCTAGGAGCAGTGATGATGAAACCGATGAAGAAACCACTCCGTATGTGGACCAGTCTCAGGAGGTTTCCGAAATCACGCGGGCCTCACTCGAAGATGATGCTCGTGCATGGTCCCGACATGGCACTGACCCTGCGGAACGTTTCTGGATGCGCCAGAAAGGGTGGAAGGAATCGGCGCATGTCGGTACATCCATTATCCGTGCATTGGCGGTTAAGCCGGAACCGAAGAAGGAGCAGTAGATGCATGTATGAAGAAATCTGTGCGTATATAAGCCTGACACTGCATGGGTTTTCATGACATGAGCATAGCGAGTAGATTCTGTTTATGACTGTACAAAGTGTGATCTCACTATATATGCTGTGGCAGAGTGCGAAACGATCGTGATGATCCCTGTGGGTAGGTTCGTATATCGTTTCCTTCTTCGAACTTAGCCAGCTGTATACAAAATATAATAGGACCTGAGGGCCGAGGCAAGTGGTGATGCTTTTGCCACAGTGGTTCTGGCAGTTCCACACACGATCTTAACGCCTCCCACAGTAGTTCACTGCTGGAATGAAACTTTCTATTTATTACATGAAAGTCTTTTTCCCTTTTTATCTTTCTTTCTTTCTTTTTGTTTAGTATTTACCATTCTCTCCCCAACTTCCAGATTGGTCCCTGCCAAGAGTGTGGGGAAAGAAGATCCACTTGGACCCTTGACTAATTCTTGACTTGATCACTGAAGAAATTCCGCATCTTATCACAACGCTTGCGCCACCATGACCCCTAAACCACGTTCGAAAACATTCACCGGCTGCTGGACTTGTCGATCTCGTCGTGTCAAATGCGACGAGCAGCGACCAAGTTGCCAACGGTGTCGTCGCAGTGGACGAACGTGCCAAGGGTACGGTGTGCGGTTGGGATGGACCAATTCCTCGGGAACTGTAACGCAGCGTCGGCTACTGCGTTCAACTAGGGCAACGGCAGAACTGTCGCCAGCTGCCGTGAAAGATATTTTGAGTGACCTGGACCATTCTCCGGGAAAAGCGATTGCTCAGCGAGGGCCGTTTTCGGTCTTTTCTGTCTCTGTGTCGGAGGACTCGAGTCGGAATGTGCGGGTTCACAATCATCGCGAATCATCAACGGAGAGCTTCAACGGGGTTCTCCCATACCCACACGATCTATCTGTATCACCATCCCCAAATGCATCGTCTATGGCGCAATACCGGCTCTTTCCGGAGCCTCCGATATGCGTCCTCAACGAAGATGCCCTCGTTAAGATTGGCCAAATAACTCCAAACCCATCTCAGACGGAACGTAGGCGATGCGCAGCAGATACAAACGACAAGATTCAGGCGCGCCTTGTAGAGAGGGCACACATCTCATCGTCGCTGAATCCTACGAGTATGTCTCCCCTTGAGATCGAATTGATCCATCACTGGGTCGTCTTCCTCAGCGGAAACCTGCTCCTGATCGACTTACCTGACAATCCGTGCCGCACTGTTTTCATGCCCCTGGCTCTCAAGGGACTGAACTCCTCCGCATCGGAGTCAAACATGCACCGTGCTGTCTTCCATGGACTGTGTGCAGCTTCCGCATTTAGTCTTTACCATCTTCGCAGCGAATCCAAGTACCAATCTCTTGCTGTTCAGCATGACCAGCAGGCCCTACAGCATCTGCGCCAGAACCTTCGTCCTGAAAGCCGACTAGACGAGACCACACTTGTAGCTGTGCTGACGTGTATCGCAGCTGAAGCCATGTCTGGCCGGCGTAGCCGATGGAGAGCTCATGTTCTTGGGGGACTGGGAATGCTGGAAAATGAGCTTGATGGCGAGTGGCTACAATCACCAACCGCGGCACGCTTACTCCAGAGTTACTTGTCTCTCTCCTCGCTGTGCAATTTCCGAATGTCGGCTCAGTTAGTAGGATTGTTGAAAGGGCTTCCGAACATCCAGAACTACTTAGAGCGGTCGCATGGTGTTTCACAGTCACTCGTACAATTTCTAGCACATATATCTGCCCTCAGGGAGTCACCTAATCGGACCACAGCTGCGGACCTAGACAATCTGGAGTTGCAGCTTTATCTCCAATTTCCCAGCTCGCACTTCCAGGAAACACCCGAGTCGATTGTCATCCAGCATGCTCTGAACTCCTTTTACTACGCCACCGTGATCTACTTTCGCCGTTCTCTTCGCCGTGTCCCTGTGGGAGACGTTCAAGACCTCGTGGAGAAAGCAGTCCACGAGCTTGAAGCCGCCGAGGCACTCACCCACCGAAGAGGCGGATCTGCCTACAATTGGGCCGGCTTCGTGGTCGCCGCCGAATGCAGCCGACCGGATCTACAAGAGAGGATGCTGGCTTTATTCGATCGCAAACGCCGGCACGGAATCACGAACATCCAATCATTGTGCGAAATCGTTACAATCCTGTGGCAACGACGAGCATCTGCGCCTGGAGTCGATATTCATTGGGAGGAGATTGCTAACGAGGCTGACTATGATATCATGCTAGTATGACCACATTGCCGATGACAACAGGTTGCATGTGTTCGTCGAGTCTATGTCCCGACCCGGTTTAAATAGTGTATCCGCCATCCACCACCAGCGCAGCACCACACACATAGCTGCTCATCGGCGAAGCAAGATACAGGATGGAGTCCGCAATCTCATCCGAGTCGGCGGGACGACCTAGAGGAGTGTTCTCGAACTCGCTCTTCATTGCACCGCTTTCAATCGCCGCGTGGATGATAGGCGTATCCACATATCTGGACCATTAGTGTTGGACGCAATCAGTTGGAGAAGAGACCTACCCAGGACAGATGGCGTTGATACGGATTCCTTCCTTGCCGTACGTTTTGGCGTCCTATGATTGTGAGTCTGCGTGCCCAGGAATATCAAGGCAGATAGGGAATGCCACATACCAGTTTGGACATTGCTACGACAGCTGGTTCTCTTAGCATCCTACAGGGGCTACATAGCCATGGATCTCAGTGGAACTTACCATGTTTGGCAGCAGTGTATGGGATGATTGCAAACTCTGCCGGAGGAGCAGCAATGCCAAACATCGACGACAGGTTGATGATGACTCCGCGGCCTTGACGGACGCCTCGCGATCTAACAAATCAGCGCAACCAAACTGGTTCAGATGGAAGCTATCAGACCCACTCTTGTGTTAACATCTGCCGGATGACTCCCCTCTGACACAGCCACAGCCCTGTCTGATTGATATCAATGACCTTTTGCCACGCAGACAAACTGAGATCATGCGTCTTTGTGGGCACCCCACTGATCCCTGCGGAGTTCACGGCAATGTCAATGCGGCCGAACCGAGACACTGTCTTCTGGATTGCTTGGTCGACCGAGGCCTCACTGGTGACATCGACCTGCAGGATCTCGGTTTCGACATGGGGGAAGGATTTGTGGAGCTCATCGCGGGTGGCCTCCAGCTGAGCCTGGTTGACATCCAGCAGGGCCAAAGCAGTGATGCCGTGTTCGGCAAATTTCAGTGCCGATGCTTTACCAATTCCTATATAGATGTTAGCCCTAAGCATTAGATCGATCGCAATGCACGTACATACCGGAGGCAGCGCCGGTGATGAAAGCAGTTCCCGTAACTTTGCAAGCCATAGTGTCTATCAGCAGGTAATTTGATTATCCTTGAATGATCTACGGTTCTAAGTCCAAAGACGTTGGGGGCTCCATGGGGGTCTCTTATAGCCCACTGCGGGGTCAAGGCAGCGTGCCACCAGCGTTAATGTCCATAGCCACGGAGACACAAAATTCCGAGGCCAACCAGATTTGAGCGGTGAAGCGAGCTTTGTACATACATTCCTGTCGTACAATCACCGTCGGCGGAAAAGTCGGAAGCATCGTCTCTTCAGGGCTCTCTGGACGGTACAAAGAGTACGAACTAGGTTCTGCAAGCGACTGCCAAGATGGAACCATGTTTTGGCCATGTCGATCCTTACAAAAAGACTCCACTTGCGGTCTCGCCGTCGACTTCCTTTTTGGGACGGCTCCCATTGCGCATCGCATCCCGAGGCCTTTTACAGCATTCGGATGTGAAGGTCCCGGCCAAGTCATGAATAGTATAGAGACAATTTGAACGTCGAGGATGTTCCGATCAGATCCAGTGAACGGGATAAAAGGAGCACCATGGCCACCAGCTCCGGGATCTTTGCAAGTCAATTCACTTCATCAAGTCTCTTACAAGTGACCTTAACCCTCAATCTACCCCCAGAATGACCCGAACAGAACTCACACTCGATGCGGTCGTCATCGGCGGCGGCTTCGGTGGCTGCACTTCCCTCTACCGCCTCCGCGAGATGGGCCTCACGACCAAACTCTTCGAGGCAGGAAGCGCTTTCGGCGGTGTTTGGCACTGGAATAGTTACCCCGGGGCTCGTGTGGATAGCGAAATGCCCGCCTACCAGTTCAATATCCCCGCCGTATGGAAGGACTGGAATTGGAGCGAACGGTTCCCTGGCAGCGAGGAGCTGAAGCGATACTTTGAGCATGCTGACCGCGTGCTGGAGCTGAGCAAAGATACCTATTTCAACACAGTCGTATCGGAGTGTCGCTATGACTCGGCGAGTGGACTATGGATTGTCCAGACCTCGACCGGCATCAGGGCAACGTGCAAGTACCTCATCGCCGCAACGGGATCCTCCTACAAGAAATACTTCCCCGAATATCCCGGTCTGAACCAATACAAGGGCCAGCTAATCCACCCAGCGGCGTACCCGGATAAACTCGACGTCACAGGAAAGAAGGTCGGCGTTGTCGGCAACGGAGCTTCGGGTCTCCAAATCGTCCAGGAACTGGCAAAGGAAGACTGCGAATTAACCTCGTTTATCCGCAATCCCTGCTTCGCAATCCCCATGAAACAGCGGAATATCTCTCCGGAAGAGTCCGAAATGATGAAAGGGTACTACGACGCCCTCTTCGACCGCTGCTATAAATCTGCCACGGGTTTCCCGCATAACACCAGGCCTCAGGCGGCCAGCCAGGCATCGCCCGAGGAACGGAAGGCTGTTTTCGATGAGCTTTGGCAGCGCGGTGGATATAGTTTCTTGGTTTCGAACTACTATGACTTCCTCCTCAATGAAGAGGCCAACTCGATCTTTTACAATTACTGGGTACAACAGGTTCGAGCTCGCATGACGGACGAGAAGAAGATGGATATTGTTGCACCGTTGAAGCAGACTTACCTGGTCGGTACTAAGCGGCCGAGTCTGGAGCAGGATTACTACGAGATGATCGATCGGAAGAATGTCATCCTGCATGATTTGAAGAAGGCGCCTATCCTGGAATTTGATGAGACCGGTGTGGTCACGGCCGAGGGCCATCGTGATCTCGACATCGTCATCTTTGCGACGGGATACGATGCCGTCACAGGTAGTTTGCTGGATCTGGGCATCGAAGATCGGAACCAGGTCTCTTTGAGTGAGAAATGGAAGGAGGGGACGACTACTCATCTGGGCTTGATGATTCCCGACGCGCCAAATCTGTTCCTGGTTTATGGACCGCAGGCGCCGACTGCGTTGGCTAATGGACCGCCTTTTATTGAGATGGAGGTCGATTGGATCTGTCGGGCGATTACGAAGATGCGTGACGAGGGCTTGGCGTCTGTCGTGCCCACGGCCAAGGCAGCGGAGCAGTGGAAGGAGGAGGTTCGCCTGGTGTCCGAGAATACGCTCTATCCCAAGACGAACTCGTGGTATATGGGCACTAATATCCCGGGCAAGAGGCGGGAGCCGTTGATCTGGCTGGGTGGCATCCAGAAATGGTGGGAAAAGTGCACTGATGCGCTTGAGAGCTGGGAGGGCTTTTCTACTCAGCCATTGTAGGTTTGTTTGTGTTTGGTAATTGTATGTAGACTGCAGTACTCTTCAAGCAATATAGTAATATACCAGTCCTTAGCTTGTCGCGTTAAGTGTGCTCGATACATGACCAATATTCCAGAGTAAGTTTGCCTCCTAATGACTTGCATGATATTTGACTCTCGTAAGGGCCAGTACCACTATCAAGATTATCCGAGAGAATACAACTAGGTTCAAGAACCTGGAATTCAGTTCATATACAGAATAGTGCAAACAGCAGCAAGGGATGACAGATTCTTTCCCAGTCTCTCAATACCATACTTACAGAGTGATGCTTACAATTGTCTATATCTACTACCGCGAGCTTCACTCCTCAGCACCGCCGTCAGCGCAAGCAGAACTACTCTCATACAGCAACCACTCTCAGAATACTTATTACTGTGAACCGTGTAGTTGTTCTCTGTTGATGGAATGATCAGGGGCAGAAACTACCTCATGTTACGTTTAGGGCCAGCTGCTGGAAAGATTATACTCTACCCATTCAGTATCAATGGTTCATAGGGTGTAAGGGGTAGATCTTCCAATTATGGACTGCGATACTGCACCTCGAGGCGATGCGTACGTGGCTGCAGCTGTAAAAATATGTCCTACACAAACGAGGCCGTCAGGCTGCATGCCCGAAGAAATCCCCAGTCTTTGTCTGATCTCCTATATATAAGACTGTTGAATTGTTCTCTCAGATAGAACATTTACCTGTCTTCCCAAGCAACGATTTCTATCTCCCATAGCCTCTTCTGTGCGTCCGAGGTACATATCCGTGAGTATGCGTATGCACACACCAAAACAGACATGAACTGTGATCGGCATAGACGTAGCATAAAGTACCTATCACATTGTATTGCAGCAAGTCAGCAATGATCGCCCAATCAACCTAATTCTATAACCGAAGATGGCATATAGTGCCCCCTACAGCACCCCCTACAGCGCCTAAAAGTATCCACTGTAGTTGCGGCGTGGGAAACGTCTTCGTTCTCTTTCAGGGACTCCTTACATTACCCGATAAGGCCTTTCCAGGGGTGCATACGCAATGGTATATTCCATATATTCCGTAGATCACAGCATGAACTATTGATTTCGTGCATCAGGCACAGCCGAAATGTGATATGTCGAACGGCATTTCCTGAAGGGAGTGTTAGAAAGTGACTTGATCATTGATCCCCACTACATCAATGATTATCACCACTACTATGAGAATCGATCAGCTACGCAGCCCAAATGTGGCAATCAAACCAGCCTGAGAAATACCTCATTGCGAACCAGCTGAACAGAAAAAAGACATAAATACTGCTCTGGCACCCCCCGACTCCTTCGTCTCAACAACAGCAGCATCTCTACTTTCCATCAAGTCTCACTTAGCCATATCAACTCCGCACTCTACAAACCTCCACCATGAAGTTCCAGACTCTCTGCATGTCTCTCTTGGGTGCCGCCGCGCTGGCGACCGCGCTGCCCGTCGATACGCCCACCGCGCCTACCGACCCGGTCTGCCTGCCCTTCGAAAAGGTGACCAAGCTCGCCGAGAAATTCCCTGGGCTTGCGGACGAACTAGCGAACTTGAGAAAGGCATCTCAGCCTGAGAAACGCCAGGATTTAAAGGTTGACGAGGATCTGTGCCGTGCCCTCAAGGCTACTCCCGGCACCGTCTCCATCCCCAACAGGAATGCTCTACAGAAGGCTTGCAACAAGTTGGAGGCCGAGAAGGGGGCTGCTCAGCCTGAAAAGCGCCAGGAGCAGCCTCCATCAGTAAACAAGGCTGTTGGCGATGGTAAGTACCCCCTGGGCCTTTTAACATGGATGCTGTACTGATCAAGATAAAACCTCTAGTTAAAGCAGCTGTCGGCAACGCTGCTGGTCTTGGGTTACCCGTATAATCGCTCGTGGAAAATGCCACAGGGCTTGTGTTTCGTCGAATCTGCCTCGCTCTTCCTGTCGGGATTCGGGGGTAATGGGGTCTTGTGTTAGCTGTGATTCTGGATCGTGTATAATTTACTTTCTAATCTGGGGGGTTTATTTTTTAGTCTCCTAGAGTATGTTGCAGTGCCTGTTGCATGTATTGTATATTTTTCAGTTGGAACTACAATGCAGTTGTATAGCAATGTCCATACTTTCCGTATATTCGTAGACCCCATATAATGGATCTCTGTTGCTCTTTCTGTCTATCTATGATTGGACATGGCCTACCACGAAAGTTACAAAATAGCCAGCGCATTCGGCGGACTTCCAACAGCACCAGGCACATTCAGCGGCGCCGAGGTCAAGAAAAAGCTATACCTCCCAGCCTTCTTACACTCCTCAGCCAGGGCCTTCAGGTCCCACAGCTCCCCGAGCGGCATTCCAAGCAAACCAAGACACCATTGGTGCAGCACTACTCCAATTAGCCACTAGACACGGATTCCATAAGTTAGATCACACTCACCAAGCTCGGTGGGCGGTCGCTCTACCCCATCCACAATCGGGGGCATAGCCTCCACGGCTACATTATCACACGCGACGGCAGCGAATTGTCTGGTCCAGAGCCAACGTGCCATATCTTCGGTTCCTTCGATTCCACAGCATCGCACTGGCGCCATGGCGGCTGATTGCTCGTCCCCGCTCATTTGTCCCAGTGCCTCTGTTACCCCGAATCGGATGATCAGGATATCGCCCTTTTCGAAGGTGGTGCCTTGGTGGGCTGCGACTGCTTCGATGTCTGCGGCGCTGATGCGGAAACCGGAGAAGGGGGAGTATTGGATTCCTTTTGCGGCGGCGTAGGATGTGAAGTCAATCAGGACGCCTCGGCCGGTGAGACCACCGCGGGCGTGCCAGTCTGCGTTGGTTTAGATAGTGGGTTGGCGATTGGGAAGAGGTCGCGCTTACGATCTAGGGTTGGGAGGCCGTTGTTTGCTTCGAGGGCTTCGACCGTCGGTTTGAACCCATTGTAGGATAGACCGGAGGGGAGGTGCTGGAAGTGGCCTTGATGTTTTTCATTAGCGTAGTATAGTCAGGGGCACGAGAGATAACGTACAAAGACTGTCCCACTGGCTACTTCCTTGGGTGTTGAAATCCACCTATAGTCTATCAGATATCTCCACTGATAGCAGAGTAGAAAGTCGGGTCCCCATACCTCATCATCAAATCCAAAGCCTTGCCCAGTTGCGGGATCGTCCAGTCTGACCACGCGACGGGAAAGATGTTTGCGAAAGTGTCCCTTACTCTTGATACCCCCTAGCGACCAGCTAAACTTATATCAGTGTCTATGTCCTAGCATGAACCTGTCACATAGTCGAGCATTGTAACGCACTTGAGGGAGACAGAGAGACCCTGATGGATCTCAGTGGCAGCGGTTTTCACGACGTCTGGCGTGATGAAGTTCAACGTTCCGTAGAGGTCTTTTTGACCATTCTCGTCGAAAATGCCCCAGGAGCACTTGCTCTGAGGATGTCCTGGCACGGAGGGCAGTTCATCGAAAGAGGGAATGGCGCCCATAGTTAGTATTGCTTGGCAATATGGAATACGAGGTTAAACAGAGCAGTGGTGCCACTGAGACTGGATCTTCCATCTGAGGGTTGCCATGGATTATTTGACTCCATGCCCCTGTTCTATAGTCCTCAGTCTACTTACTCTATAGTCCTTAGTATTCTTGCTCGATAGTCCCTGATCTACATACTCTATACTCGTTACATCCCCAACGCTTATTCATAGTCGATGCATTCTTCACAACGTGGATTATCCACGTCGCTGTCAACTTCCTAAAAGGACACCGCCGCTCGTGTCCCCACATTTTGATAGAAGCTCCACAGTGGATCATCCCCGGAGCCCGGGAGTTTCGCATTCTACCGACATCTCTTTGCCCTCCGGACAGAAGGATTCGTCGCACCCCGATGGAAAAGGGACATTCGGTTCGGATGACTGGTCTTTCCGTGAAGAAACAACGGGCATGCGCCTGCATAGGCGGACGGCCTATACCAACGTAGCAGTACTAATAATCCCTGTAGATCCCTAATGCTGGCACCACTCTCTCACTAAATCTCTCATTTTGCGTTACATTGCACCCCCCACCCAGAGAGAAACATAATGCCTCTCCAACTCGACCCCGAATTTGCCGAAGTCGCAGGTCCCGTCCTGCAGCAGCTTGGCCAACTGCCCAAACCGGCCGTCCACGATGTCGCGGCCAGAAGAAACATGATGGCGGCTATTACCAAGAACGCCCCGAAGACAGTCCTCCCGGATGATATGGAGCACCTCGTCCACTACGCCCCGACCCCGTCGGGCGATTTCAAAGTCCCCATCCACCACTACCGCAAGAAGCGCGGGCCGGACGTGGACGTGAAAGCGCCCGCCGTGGTGCACACGCACGGAGGCGGGTTCATTTCGCTATCGGCCGAGGAAATGGAGGGCATGCTGGTTGGGTACGCCGCCGGGTCTGGGGTGCAAATCCTGAGCATCGACTATCGGCTAGCCCCGGAACACCCGTATCCGATTCCGATCGAAGACAGCTGGACTGCTCTGCAGTGGGTATACGCACACGCGGAGGAGCTGTCGATCGATGCCCATCGCATAGCCGTTATGGGCGAGAGTGCCGGGGCTGGGTTGGCGGCGGGTCTGGCCTTGATGGCGCGCGACCGGGGGCTCGCGCCGCCCCTCGCTAAGCAGATCCTCGTGTATCCCATGCTTGATGACCGGCCGGCGGCCATGGACCATGCGGGGGATATGGCCTTCTGGACACCACAAGACAACGTCACGGGCTGGACGGCGTATCTGGGGAAGGATGTGGGGACGGAGCGGGTTGCGCAGTATGCGGCGCCGGCGAGGGCGGAATCTATAGAAGGCTTGCCACCTGTGTATATGGACTGTGGACAGCTGGATATTTTTGTGCAGGAGGATACGGAGTATGCGCTGCGGTTTGTGAAGGCGGGCATCCCCGTCGAGTTTCATCTGTATCCCGGGCTGCCGCATGGGTTTGAGGGGTTAGCGCCCTTGGCGAGCTTCTCAAGGAGGGCCATGGAGAATCGCTTCAGAGCGATTAGGGAACTCTGAGGGGCGAATGGTGTGGTTGGTACGTGTGGAGAATCGAGATATGGATTATAGTTTCGTAGTGTGGACTAGTGGATTCTGGCCATCAGATACTCCGTAGACATCTGGATATCCTTTACAAATGAAAACGGCTATACTTTTTCTTGAAAGGCTTAGCCGAGGTTCCCTGCGTATCGAATACGCAGGGCGAAGTGGGCCAACGTTCGTAGCATTGGCATAAGTACTCGATATGGCCCTCATTCGCGGTTCCCTCACCTTCTACACGAATCGCACTACTAGTACTAACCAGCATGACGACCATCTCTCGACCAACCGCTGACGCTCTCACGGAGAATGTCTCCAACAAAGTAGCTATTGTTACCGGCGCCGCACGTGGCATCGGATTTGCCACGGCCGGTCTCTTAGCCCGCCACGGGGCCCGCGTGGTGCTTGTGGATTTGCACGAGGATGCACTAAAGAGTGCCGTGGAGGCCATCGGCGGACAAGCCACATACAAGACCTGCGACGTGAGCGACTGGGATCAGCAGATCGCCTTGTTCCAGTGGGTCATCGACACCGTCGGGCCCATTGAGCTCGTCGTGTGCAACGCCGCTATCAACCCCGAAATCACACTGCTTCAGACGCAAGACCCCGAGCGACACGCACAGCTAAATAGCCAAGCGCGGTACAATTATTTGGCGGATGAAACCAAGGAAGGAAAGCTCCAGCGCCCGTCAACGCAGCTCTTTGACGTCAACGTCAACTCCGTCGTGTTTGGTCTCAAATTAGCCATCCACCATATGAAGCAGAGAGAAGCGGGCGGCCGCATCGTCGTCGTTGGCTCCGCTGGATCCTACGTCCCTGTGCCTTCGCAGCCGCTCTATACCGCCAGCAAACATGCGGTCTTGGGCCTGGTCCGCAGCACCGCCCTGATCGAGGAGGTTACGCGAGCGAACGTCGCCATTTCCTGGATCGCGCCGTGGCTCACGCTGACCTCCATGGTGGAAGGGCTGGAGGCTACCACGTCAGCCAACACGCTCAAGAGCTCGCCGGAGGATGTGGCATGGGCCATCGCAGCGGCCGCGGCGTCACCGACGAGCTGGGCCAACGGCAAGGGCTTCTGGGTGCAAGGTACGACGATCACCGAGGTGGAGGGCACGTATGGGGAGGTCGGCCAGCGGTTGATAAGCCCTGAGAACCAGTTCTGATGGGGAGCCTGACGTAGGGAGGTGATGGGTCTTGTACATACATGACAGTGTAGATTGGATTGACAAGAGCACATACCACTTTGGAGCATTCTGGAGGTACATGTCAGACATTGGTTCGTCGGGAGATGATCTCATGTACATACCGAATGTAAAGTCGTATTCAAGAACGTTCGATCTGCGCAAGTTTATTCCATTATCAAAATCTAATCATTTCCCCCTTGCTTCGTCTCTCACCCCTTTTCAGCTCACGCAGAACCACCACAACGGTCACATGCGCCACGGATAAGACTAGTCCAAGACATTCTGCAGTTATCTTGGGGCATTTTTCATGACACCCGTCATTATGCCAAGCCATTCCGACCCTGTGGATGGACGAGGTACACGTAGGCCGTCAAGAAGGAATCGGCAGCATGAAGCAAGGGATGAGGCGGAACGGAATTGCGTGAGATAGGTATTCAGGTGGTTGAAATAACTTATATAGCTTGTTCGCACATGAAGCCCATCGAGACTCATTAGGAGATATACCACACATCATCGAGTCGTTCAAGATGCTGCGTACCTTAACCAGAGCGTACCACGGTGCAGTGGGGACGACGATACGGCCGGCTCCTGCGCTTTCGCCGTTAGGTAAGTAAGCTTTTTTCTAGTCATAGTTTATCCTTGATTAGGTTATTTTAGCTAACGGAAGGCCTAGCCAATGTCCCATACCTTCAAGCGCCGAGGCTTGATTCAGCCCAAGACCAGCTGCACGTTGGCAGCGTGCAACGCCACCTCCAGGACGCTGGCGTTCTGAAAATCAGCCTCAACTTCGACGACAACGACTCCCACTACCTCACCAGTCTCATCCAAGGGCTGCACAAATGGCACGGCCACGGCCTACCCATCACGCACTCCGCGCACCGCGGCTGGTACTGGGATATCCGGCCCAGCCAAACGGTCTTCCAATGTCCGGACCACCAGGCCCGATCAGAAACCATGAACGAGTTCCCATGGCACACCGACTGCAGCTACGAGGCCTCACCGCCGCGGTTCTTCGCCCTGCAAGTCCTGCACCCGGACCAATGCGGCGGCGGCACGCTCTCCGTGCTGAAAGTCGACAATCTCCTCAAGCTCCTCTCGGAGTCGACACGAGCTGCCCTCCAGAAGAAGGACTACCTGATTACCGTGCCGCCGGAGTTCCGGAAAACAGAAAACAAGGACGAGTCCATCGTCGGGAGTCTGCTCTCCCCGGACCCGGCATCTGGGAGCCTGGCGCTCCGCTTCAGAGAGGATATCTTCACGCCCTTGACGGGCGAGGCGGGACTGGCGCTTGAGGAGCTCAAGTCTGTCTTGCTGGGCCCACAGGCGCAGTCTGAGGTCGTGCAGCTCACCGCGGAGATGATGCCGCGCGGCTCCATCGTGATCATGGATAACAGGCGGTGGCTGCATGGACGTAATCAGGTGAAGGATCCCCGGAGACATTTGAAACGCGTGAGATGGGATGCTAGGCCGTTTGGCCTGGACTAGAGCGGTGGATATTCTGGGGGGTTTACGATTGATGATCTTTGCATTGCTTTTGCTCTCTTATATGCTAATTTTTCTTTTCTTCCGATTGCTGGTTATTCTTAGAGTGTGACTTTGGTAGATCTATATTGCTGCATCGCGTGGGGTTTGTGAATTGAATGACTGTCGGGAAGTCCGTTGGGTTTATTATGTGTAGCTTGTTGGTATATAGAGTGAGGTTCACCTTCTGGAGGGACGTGAAATAGACTTCTACTGCTGGCCTTGTCTCAGGCTCACACTCTGTGTTTTTCTTCAAGAGGTGAATGGTATTCTTAGTGATGATTGAATTTAGACTAGGTGCAACTCTTATTCATTGTCACTACTCTAAAAGCCTACTCCTGTACGGGCGGAGCGAAGAATACTGTTTCAAAGTTCTTGCCCATGACGATATCTATATAACTCTATGTGAACAATGAATATGACGTGATATGGCCCTGATCATGATCTTCTTACCCTTGACACAAGTCGCAAGTCATTCAGCATCAAGATATAACAAATCCAAACCATACTCAAACCAGCAAAGCATTAAACCAGCAGGTCGTAAACAGGTTGCATGTTACCAATACCCCATACGTCAAGCCTCTAATCAGTGTACTCAGGGTATATCTCCTCGTCAGCATGTTCCTCGCTCTCAACGCACGCTCTGCCAGCTAGTCCATAATCCTTGATGCACAATATCAGCGCGAAAAACAGCAAGATCAAGACCGCAAACACGCTAAAGACAGCCCGTAGTCCGTGCATGTATGCATCAGAGATCAACTCCCAGTCCTCATCAGTGAGGTTGAGATCGCGCGAGGCGAAGGCGGAAGACGTGATCTTGGAAATGAGGGCGTCGCTGAACCGTCCCTTGAGATCATTGTGGAGGACGTTGTTGAGGATCGCCCCGGATACTACCTCTTTTGTTAGCTGTGAAAGAGGGTGGAAGTTGAGGAAAAAGCAGTACCTGTTACGCCGATAGAGCCGCCCATGTCGCGGATGAAGTTGCGGAACCCTGTTACCACGGCACGGTCGCTTTTGTCGGACCCCGCGAGGAGGCCGACCATGACTGTGGGCTTGTGTTAGTCTGGGCATGTTGTAGAGGAGAGGTAAGGTGTGTATACCGGGCTGAAAGGAGCATCCCACCCCGATGCCTTCAAAGATCCCTCCTAGCTCCAGAATCCACAGTGCGGTCTGCCGTGTGTAGAACGACTTGGCCGCTGCTGCCAGCATCCACATGCCAACGCCGGTGCTGATGACGACCTTGTACCTACCTGTCCACGAGATGATGAGCCCGCTCAGCCCCGAGGTGATGCCGTGCGCAATCACCATCGGCAGGATCAAGGAACCAGATGTCCCCGGGCTCCATCCGCGGACGTTCTGGAAGTACAGCGGGATATAGAAGAGATTGCCCCAGAAGACCCAGCCGATGACGATGTTCGCGAACAGCAGGATGTTCGTGGAGTAGTTATACTTGAATACGCGCACTTGGCCAGTCAGCATGCGAGATGGAACCTACGAGGATGGACGGCATACTGGGCAAAAGCGGCAGTTCGACCCATCGCCACTCTCCGATCAGAAAGAGCCCGAAGAGCGCCGCTCCGAGCGTGAGCATCGCAATGATGATAGGGGAGTCCCATGGAATCGCGGTGCCCCCCTGCGAGACAGGGATCTACAAGCCGAGTTAATTTCTTGCGATGTCGCCGCGCTGTCGCACGTACCAGGATCAGCACAATGGCCATCATGCTCGTGAAAACCCCGAACCAATCCACTCTGCGCAGCTTCGTCCGGACATCGTCGGACATGCCGGACGATGGGAACACAAGACCGAAATATGTGGCTGCCGCCACGGCCAGCGGACACACGAACCAAAATGCCCAGCGCCAGGAAGCTTTCTCCGTGAGCACGCCGCCCACGACCGGCCCAAGCCCATTCCCCAGCGCCACTGCAACGCCCAGAATGCCAAAATAGTATCCGCGTTGCGCCAGGGTCGTGATATCAGAAATGGCGATTTGCACTAACGCATTGAGAGCGCCGGCGCCGAGGCCGCTCAACGCTCGAGTTGCATACAATTGCGCGGGTGTCTGGGACCACCCGCCCAGCAGGTTGCCCAGCGCCATGATTGTCAACGCACCCAGGAGGCATGTTTTGCGACCGAAGATGTCGGACAGCCGGCCGTTGATCAGCTGGATGCTGGTACTCGTCGTGAGGAAACTGGCACTGACCCATGAGATGGACGAGCCGGTGTTTAGGCCGGCTGCGATGGCAGGCAAGGAAGTCGATAGCGCTGTTTGATCCAGAAACGAGGTAAAATGGATCAGAGCCAGGGCGGGAAATATAACAAGGAGTTGCTTCCGCGGGAGAATGTGAGATTGGTGATCTTTGGAATCTTTGAGCAAAGGGGTTTCTTCAATCTCTCTCTCGGCGTCGGCCCATTGAGAATTCGACGGAGGCGCCATTTCTAAAAACAGAAGCAGACCGTTGCTGTGCAATTGCCCCGTGTGTCTCAAGCAGCTTTATCGAGAGCGAAACCCACTGTTTTTCCTTTTATCATTGAAATTACGTGCTCGGGCGTGATCCCTTGTGGCTGAGAAATGGAGCCAGCCCAGACATGCATGCTCATGATTTTAAACCTCCCCCTTGCAGTGTTGTGTCGGAGACCGTGATAAGGGATCCTATCGACGGCGGACGCAAGGGCCCGGAGAAGAGAGATTTGTTACCCAGCGCTTTACGGTTTACATTAAGCTACGCACTTTATCCATCGTATAGTAGTCGTACTCTGCGCTATAGAATTTACTATTCCTTTCTATAATACTAAGTTTATAGCTCAAAGCTAGGGGTTAGTAGTTCCAGTATCTAAAAGTAGGAGTAGTTTAGGGCTACGGTAACTAAAGATTCAATTCCGCAACACGGTGCAGTACTGCATGAGTGAATTATTAAAGCGGTAAATATATTTGACTCTGGAGGATATCGACCATGGTAAGTGGTAGGTCATTCGAACTTATACTCCGGAGATAGACTTAATGTGGCTCATATATCGTGTATTAGAATCCAACTGATCCTCCAATGTCCGGAATCTCGATCGAGTCCGCCGTGGTCAGTCTCCTCGGAAGTGGTTTATCAGTTCACACTCACTTATCGCTGAGACGTGCCGGGATCTTGGCATTCTTCAGGGTTAGCACATTGTTAGCGAGGTATCAAGGGTTGAATAGTTCAATAGTTTAAGCGTGAATATGGTTTATATATGATTGCCGCGGGGCCTAGATTTCTCTCTGGTTCGCAGCAACATCTTTCACGTCGTAGCCCCCGTTCCCTCTAATCTTATTTTCCCAACCGAGGAAGCATGCCTTGGACGGGCCTGGCTACCTTGTTCCTGGCTGTTTCTGGTGTCTATGGCAGTCGGTTAGACACCAGTGGCTTCCAGGAGTGCAAGAGCAGACAAAATCTTTCGTCGACCGCGGTTCACAATCTTTTACAGTCCGTCCCTGATGCTGAGAAAATCCGCGAATCAGTTCGCTACTATACCAACGGGTCGCATGTAGCAGGACAGGGCCTCCAGCAGGCGCTGTGGACCCAGGAGTTGTGGAATGCCATTGGCCTCCCCAACACAAGCGTGAAATCCTATAGCACCAACCTGACTCTGAACAACGAACATCGAGTCGCGCTGCTTGACACGGCACGCGAGGGAGATCCAGTAGTATATGAGGCGCCGCTGATTGAGGACAACGCCCCCGAGCCGGGCGATGGGCAGCCCCCTTTTATTCCGGCCTTCTTCGGGTGTGCCGGGGAGGGCAATATCACCGCGCAGTATATATTCGCAAACTACGGAACGCAAGAGGATTACGATGATTTGGTGGGCGCGGGGATCAACATCACGGGAAAGATCGCTGTGATCAAGTCGACGTATGAATCCGCCGTCTTGAAAAAGTACAATCTGCCGTATCACCGCGCAACCCAGGAAAAAGTCGCCACAAAGAGGGGCCTCGCGGGGATGCTTATCTACCCTGATCCTCAAATGGATGGCGAGATTATTGTAGAAAATGGATATAAGGCATTTCCGGATGGGCCCGCCCGGCCCCCTTCTTTGATCGAGCGAGGAACAGTTGGGGCTTGCTGTAGGTCTTCTCAGGATCCTTGTGAGCTTGCGTTGGAAGATCTGATTGCTCTAACCACTTGTGTGCAGCGCCTGGTGAGATTCCCGCCATGCCCATTTCGTACGCCGATGCGATCCCGATGCTGCAGGCCCTCAATGGCCATGGTCCCCTGGCAGCAGATTTCAATGACCGATGGCAAGGAGGTGGACTCACTTCGCACAACGTTACGTACAATGTCGGGCCTTCACCGGAGAACGTTGTCTTGAACGTGATTAATAAAGCGCGTCACTGGGTCGGCCCTATCCATGATGTTATTGGGACCATCCCCGGATGCGCCTTTCCAGAGGAGGTGATTGTGCTTGGAAATCACCGTGACGCCTGGGGTCCAGGTGCTGGAGATGGAAACAGTGGGTCTGCGGCCCTCAATGAAGTGGCACGAAGTCTCGTAACGGCCCTGAAAAAAGGTTGGCAGCCGTTGCGAACCATCATCCTCGCCAGTTGGGAGGGAGAAGAGGTAGGCCAGGTGGGGTCGCGCCCATGGCTCCGTGAAAATAAGTCCCAGCTGAACGGTAGCGTGGCTGCGTATTTGAATGTGGTCGTTGCGGGCGCAGGCACCAAGTTTCATGCTCAAGGGAGCCCACTGTTGGCACAGGCGATGCACAATGCTACCGGCCAAGTGCAAGCGCCCACAAAGGAAGGCAGCAGTGTACAAACTGTCCTAGAAGCTTGGGGGGATGAGCTCGGTCTGGGTAGCGGCGGAGACGCAATGCCTTTCCAGGAGTATGCATTTTCAGTTGCGGACTTTGGCTTCTCGCGTGGGCCAAAAGATGCTGTTTTCCCCTACCATTCGCTATTTGACACATATTCCTGGATGGAACAATACGGAGATCCCGGCTTTGAGCACCATTTGGCGACCACCAAAATCTGGTTACAGCTGGCAACATCTCTTGCAGATGAGGCGATTCTGCCCTACCGCGTCCAGGCGTATGCGTCTGTCTTCCAGGACGGCCTCGAATCACTCAGCTCAACAGCAAACCTGTCGTCACACCTCGATCTGTCGTCGCTGAAGGCAGTGGTCGATGATTTCGCGCAGGCTTCGGCAGCGTTTGACGCCCATAGCGACTCGCTTGCCGACCAAGTGCAGCAACAGCATCCTTTGAACGATAGCCTTCTGGCTCAGGTCCAGTCAGTCAATCACATATACACTAATTTCGAGCGTCTCCTCGGTGATCCAGATCTTCCTTTGGGTGATAGGGACTACCATCTTATCATTCAGCCTGCCCCGTATTACTTCCAGACGAAGCCTTTCCCTGGATTAACGAAGGCTATTGCTGCTGGGAATTGGACCTTAGCTGCGGTAAGTGTTTTTCTTGGATCTGAAGTTGACCCCATGCTCACTATTATTTAGGCATATCGCGACAAGATCGTAGATCAGCTCAACAAGGCTGTGGCTTTTCTTCAGTGATTTTTTTCTTGTTTTGCCCTGATAATTGTTTCTTGCGGCCCACATGATAATTGCTGCTGCTATTGGTTTGGTGTAGCATGTGATTGCGCAGGGCCCTAATTCGGGGTGTGATGAATCCACCATCTGACGCAAGCCTGCGCTTAGTTCGTGATATTATAGCCATCTCTGCATATTGTGTACACCGTGTTCAATGCGTAACGTAATGGTCGGCCTGATACCGCAATCCACCCTACGACTTGCTTTCCTGCTGTCTTCCCTTGTATCTGTGCTCTTTCCCCTCAGTTCGATGTTTCGGCAATGAGGCATACCTTCAATCCCGTTGAGTGGAATTCAGACAAGACTCCCCACCGTTACTCAGACCTGAGTCATGTGGGGTCACCAAAGGCCTCACATCGAATGTGTGGAGGTTGGATCTCCTGTGCAGACGATCTGTTGGGTGTCTCCACTTGCCCCCGGAAGAAAGGCTCGGCAACAAAAGGCCTCCCTGATCTGCCGAACTGTACACAGTAGAGGACAACTCTGATCGAGTGTACACCACGCCATACACTTGGCCTCAGAATGTGGGGTTCGGTCTTGCAATATGATCCTTCTCGTGTCCTTCTGGACGAGATGCGACCCCACAATGATCAGTATATGAGAGCTGCCGCCCCCTGGTGTACTCTGTATCGTTTCTTGACAGCGAAACCGTATCTACCTGTATACCGCGAAACACTCTCTTTCCCTTCAACCTAAGCCCGCATTAATTGACATTCAACATGGGCTCCGCAGGTAATCTCTCCGACCCCCAGGAATATCAGAAGATCTTCCACTGGGCGGAGACACAGAAGGACGGTGAAATCCCCTCCTTTTCCACCCGCCGAAACGACCCTTATGAGGTATGCGATGTTCATTGTCCCTCTGTTGTGATGATAATCTAACCCTCAATAGTATCAAGCTGGATTTGGTAACGCGTATGCCATCAGTTCCTTCACATGAGGGGCTCAATCCGCTAATGTCGGTGCGTTACATCGAGCAGATTTATCTCCGAGGCTGTGCCCGGAACGATTCCCCACGGACAGAACAGTCCTCGTAATGTGCGCTTTGGTTTGTACGCAGAGCAGGTAACAGCCACTGCTTTTGTGGCCCCGAGACATGCCAACAAGAAGGCCTGGCTATACCGTGCTCGTCCAGCGGTGGCTCATCAAGGATTTGTATGTGAATTCGACTACATAAAGGGCCATCTGGCTAACCCGCCTAGACCAACCTCCCAGACAACCCCGACACAGAGGCCACTTTCTTGCCCTTGAACCCGCGGGTCCACGTCTCCCCCACCCAGCTGGCATGGCATCCGTTCGATATCCCCTCCGACGAGCCGGTGGACTTCGTCACCGGTCTGAAGACCGTCGCTGGATCGGGAGACCCGACTCTCCGCGAGGGCCTCGCCACTCACGTCTACACCGCAAACACCAGCATGACCCAGAAAGCCTTTGTGAATTCCGACGGCGAGATGCTCATCGTCCCCCAGCAGGGAGCTCTGGACATCCAGACCGAATTCGGTCCACTTTTCGTCCAACCGGGTGAGATCGTCGTGATCCCCCGCGGCATCCGCTTCCGCGTCGAGGTTCCCGACGGGCCTTCTCGCGGCTACATCCTCGAAATCTGGGGCTCTTGCTATGAGCTCCCCGAACTGGGCCCGCTGGGCGCCAACGGCCTCGCCAACACGCGCGACTTCCTCACCCCAGTGGCCAAGTATGAGATTCGCCAGGAGCCGTGGGAAATCGTGTACAAGCTCGGGGGCAAGTTCTTCGCCAGCGCGCAGAACCACAGCCCGTTCGACGTTGTGGCCTGGCACGGTAACTATGTACGTCGCGTCGCTTACTTGGCTTACAAGTGGAACACCCTTTCATGCGATGGCGGGCTAACAATCGCAACAAGGTCCCCTACAAATACGACATGACGAAGTTCGTCAACGTCGGCTCGATCTCCGTCGACCACATCGATCCCTCCATCTTCTGCGTCCTGACCGCGAAATCCCGCGACCCGACGGCCCCTCTCGCCGACTTCCTCATCTTCTCCCCCCGCTGGGACGTCGCATCCAGTATGCATCCCCCCTTCTGTCTTAACATAACATGAAATCTATACTAACTAACCGGGTGATGAAGACACCTACCGCCCACCCTACTACCACCGCAACGCCGCCTCAGAGCTCATGGGCCTCGTCTACGGCGACTACGGCGGCCGCTCGGACGCCTTCAAACCGGGCAGTATCTCCTTCGAATGCGGCAGTAAGTCATTCTCCCCACACCCAAGAGAAAAGGAAAAAGAAAAGAAAATAATAAAAAAACGAGACACCCCCACTAACCTCAGAGAAAAAGTGGTCCCCCACGGCGTCGCCTACGAAGAATTCAAAGCAGCCTCCGAGGCCCCACCAC